CCATGCCTTTATTTCTACTGTAATTGTCTCCTAACTGGACCCGCAAAAAAGACAAACAGCTTCAGTTGATTCAAAATGCAGCTCCTAGAGTCTCACTAGTAGTAAGGGAACACATCACCCCCTTTCTTAAATCCTTACACTGGCTACCAGTAAGTCACAGAATAGGCATCAAGGTACTATTACTGATCTATAAATCACTTAGTGGCGTAGGAGCAGCATGTTTACCTGATATGCTGCAGCAATGTGAGCAGAGCAAAACTCTCAGATCATCAGGCCCTAGTCAGTTAGTCCTGCTGAAGGTAAAGACTAAACAAAAAAAATAACAAAGACTAAAAAAAAAATAAAATAACGAAGAACCATAATTTGGCTTTGTCAAGCCTCTAAATCAGTGGTCTCCCATCTGGGGCTGTAAAGAAACTTCTTTTCTTTTGTCCTAAGTTAATATCTGACAAGGTCAAGATAAGATTTTTCACAAATCTGCATTACACAAACAAATCCTATCTTAATTTAGGAAACATATTTTACAGGCACCGTATTACAGAAACTCCCTCCTTTTATTCTTAAGATCTGAAAGTTTTACAAATTAATATTACAGAAGCAAATTCTAATTTACAAATTATATCTTATCTTACAGCATCTTATTTTAAATTAGGAAATCTTACACTACTTCAAAGTCAACATTCAACTGTCATGTCTGTTACCAAGCCACCGACGATATCTGCACAGCTGAAACGTAAACACGTAATCAAAATAACGTTTAAAATGTAAGTTAGTTAACCATTACTGAGGTAAAACAGAGCAAAACAAAACTAAACAAAACAATGCAGAGCCCTGTGCTGTTTATCCAAACGTCACCACTCCCCATTTCATTTTTATATCCCAAACGCTTTAGCCAACAAAGCTAACTAAATAGATTCCCCCTAATAAACATACATTCAGCTCTGTCTCTATTGCCCACATCACTGTAATATTTTATTTGACAAGTTTTTGTCAACTTTAACACACAAAGGCAACAAGAGGGGATGGTGGAGATTGTGTCTGCACTGTCTGGAACACTTCACAAGTAAAACCACCGCTGTTCAATGTAGATACATGTAACATCATTATGGTAGTTATAGTGAACTATGCTGCCTGTTACTGCATAAAACAATACAAACAGACAGTTAAAACAGAAGATAGGACACCACTGAGGTTGTCTTAAAGTTAGGACACTATTTTCTTGTCTGGAGTTAGGAAAAGATTATGAACTTAGAAACTGTTGGTCTGTAACAAAAGTTAAAGATGTTAAAAATATAAGTTACAGCTCCAGTAACCAATGTAAAAAAGGTAAAACTTAAGTGCAATAAACTGGAGATTAAGTAGACTATGAGAGCACATATTGTGAAAGACATTTAAAACAGAAGTTAAGACACCACTGGGGTTGTCCTAAAGTTAGAACAGTATTTATTTAGTTGTATACTGATGTTTCTGTAATACAGGTTTCTTATCCGGAGTATCTGGATAAGATTATGAACTTAAGAACTGTTATTTTGTAATAGTTACTGTTTTAAGTTCTAACTGAAGGTGTCATACTACACAGAAAAGATTTCAGAGTTAGGATGATTCCATAATATGTCCCAAGAATAAGGCTGTTTCTGGAATATGTCTCCGGGTCCTTAAGGCCTCCCAGACAGTTCACATTTCTACTCCAACTCAATTCACAACACATTGGGACGAAGGGATAAATGGACCATATTGATGGTTGGGGGGTGGGACCTAAGAACCAGGTTGGGGAACACTGCTCTGGATCATGGCTAGCTTCCCAGTGTTCTTTCCAGTAAACGCCTGGTCAAAATCAGCAGTGAACAGCAAAGCCAAACAGCAAGTGTTTCCAGCATGCACTGACTGAGATCTGCCCAGCTTGTATTTGCAGTGGGCTTTGATATTGTGCTGTACACTGAGCTGCTTGAGGATATGCCAAGAGCTCGTGTATTTTTTCACTGTTCCACAAAAAAAAAAGGCAGCTGAATGAGTGAGTAACTAATAGCACAACTAACACCACTGAAGGGAGAGGTTTAGGTTTTGTATACGACCTTACAACATTTTGGAATTTTGGCTATATATATGTAGTGTGTGAACTCTGCTAGTTTCAAAATGTAGTGTTGACTCCTCAGTCTATATGTGGAAATTAAGCTGCAAAAGCAGCCCATTTTGAATTAATTGCTTCTGTGACAATAAACATTGGGGACCATATATAATAATGAGTACACAATGAGTTACGATGAGTTTCAGCAACACCCAGAACTAACAGGTGTGTGAATCAAGCACATGCATACTTTACAAACATTGACAGTAGATGTGATTTTAAATGTGACACTGCCATAGGATGCTACCTGTGAGTGCTATTATTTTGAAATGAAAGCATTTAGGAGCAACAACAGTTCAGCCCCATAGCATCAAATGATAGCACTATTTCACTCCCAGTTGAAAAATGGACCTCAGGTATAAAAGAAAGGTAACATGAACTGGCAAAATATATGCGATGACATCTTCTCTATGACCAGCAATTCAAAACTTTACAATTAATACAATATAAAACGTTTTACATGACAGCCTCTAAACTACACTGTATGGGATTTAGCCACGACGTAGGGCTACATTGCCCAGCTTTAACAAACATGGCACAGGCATGCTTTCTGGATTTGTCCCCCCTACCCAGCAGTTTTGGTCAGGGGTCACTGACAGGCTGTCAGAGATCTTGAGCCTTGTCATCTCTTTTTGTCCCAATGTAGCACTACTTAATGACCTTTCTTTATTTAGCACACAGTCATCTGAAGACCTTTATATCACTTTGCCATTACCATTTGCAACTTGGAAAGACATAAAGCAAAACATATACATTTTTTTGGACAACTACTCATATTAGGTTAGGTGGTTGTGGTACCACATCACCATCTGTATCTGTATATCTGTATGACTATGAATAAATAGGGAATTGTGTGACACTAACAAAAAAACAAAAAAGAAAAGTTAATGTCCCTGAAAACCAGCACATTTTCACATATCTGCCTATTCAGCCTACTGTAGTTTAGCTCTGCCCACTCACACTGAAGTTATAAGGAGTTTTTCAGCCCGCCCTGCTTTTTTGAATGAGGCACTAAACAGGACAGCCACTCAGAACAGAGGTAATTTACATATTTCAGTCTTATAGGCACCGTAACAAAAATAACTTGTTTAATTTTAAGGGATAAAGAGAGGTCAAGTAATAATGGATTATGACAGTTTGTGGTGCATAACACCACATGCAAAGTTAGTGTGCATGTACATTTTTTGTTAATCAGGGTATGAACAATGTACATGTACCCTCAAAGATACAACAGTGGTTTTAAGGTCCAACTGTCTACCTTTTTCCCAATTTTTTTTCCCAGCAAAAGGGAAATATTTAGACCTTTTCAAAATATAATGTTTTAAAACAGAACAATAAAATCAACAGCTTGGAGTGAAGACAGGGTACATGGACTCAAAACTCTAGTGTATGATATGGGCCCTTTAATGCTTACTAACCGCAGTGAGTAAGTGACTTGCTTTTCAAATGGTTCAGTGAGAATTATCTTTCTAGAATGTGTGTTCTGTGTGAAGCTGTGGGGAAAAGAAGCCTGTTATGTATTAATGTTTAAGAAATATTATTTTCATGTTCCTCCACAAGTCCAGTCTTACATCCAAATAGGAAATATCTGACTGTTAAAAATCTATTATGATGCTCTCAGACCATTGTGAGCCTTATGCATCTTAATGTATTTCATGACATGAATTAATGTTAACAGTCTATTATTGTACCTTTAATGGTGCCTACATATATGCATATATAAGCATATATAAAGATATGAAATCCAAACACAAGGAAAGCAGAAGAAGTTAGTATTTACAACAAAACGAGTATTTACAAAGCACACATACAAAGCAGAGGAAGAAAAGGAAGAAGAAACAGCAATTACTCATATATGCTCAAGTTACCATACAAAGATACAGTGATATCACACAGGCTGTAAAGAAAAGACATCTTCTGGTAGTATAGTCTTTGCCAATTTTAGGGAAAACACATATAAACTGAGGTATAAATAAGCTTATCCCTATATTCACTTTCAGATACACCGGCCACATGTGAAAATAAGAATAATAATAATAATAAAAAAAAAACCTCTTCGACAAGAAGAGGTAGCAATACTTACAGTTAGTTTTTTAGTGAAGGGGGCATGATGTGTCGCTGCTAAACTGATTCAGAATACAAAATCAAGTAACAAAAGCTCTCATTGTGAGGCTGCCATTAATTACTGCTGTGGTTCAGATGTGCATGTAAACTGTCCTGTATTTACCTTTGTAATTAGTGAATAATTGAAAACAATATGCTGATGTACAGTGACACGGCAACCTACTAAGATCCTCCAGGAGACGCATTTTGTAAATGCACTATTGACTTGTTTTTAATTAACATGACCGCTTTCTGTACAAACCATTGTTCTAGCCAGTCTCTCTCTTTGTAATCAAATACATATAGCATTTTACAAATGAAATTAAAGGAGGAATTCTTCAGATTTTTCAAAAAATTCTGCATGATTCAATCGTAAACAAAGTCATTTAAAGATTTCTTTACAGTGGTGGTGATGGGAACTAGGGGTCGTGGTGTACCCATTTTACTTACTATCCATTATGACAAGTGAACCTAAACTTAGTTTCTGGGTGTTATATGTATTGTTCACAATGGTAAAACAGGGGTAAATCTGAAAAAAAAACATTTTTCTTTGGGTACTATTTTCACCTTAGGGTAGTCAAAGAGGTGAGCCAGCAACCAAATGATGTGGGTTCAAATCCCAGCATTGGCTTGGTGCTCCTTGTTGTGCCCTTGGGCAAGGCACACAATGCCCACCCCCAACTACCCCAAACTGTACTACTCTGCTGGTGATGCAGTGCCACTCCCAGACTGCACAGAGTTAGGCAGAAAACACAAAAACAAATTTCTTTTGTAGGATGTATAATGTATACATATTTATTAGGCCAAAACTCTCAAAGCTACCATAAAACAGTGTCTTACATATTCATAAGCATTTAACGTAGTTTTTTCTAGCTTTTAGAGACATTAAACAGATGTGTAGTTCATATCACCACCATCACAAACTATTTTGACTGGCATGTTTCTCTAGAACAGTATGTTTCTTATCAACCTACTCTGAGTGACTTTGTTTACATTTTAACCATTTCAAAATGCAGACATTTAAAAAAAACACAGTGGAATTCCCTTTAAAGAAGGGGCAGACTGATGAACACCGATTGTGTTGTCACAATATTGTGAAAATAAAAATATGTTGCGATGTACAGCAATTTACACAAGATTAGGATTTATTCAAAACCGACTGCACTACCACCAACAGAGAAACTATGGGGGGGTGGAATAAGAACTTGAGGTTAGCTTATTAGTATAGCTATACCATTTTCTGTGTTTAGTCTTTTTATAAATATTGAGGGCTTGCCAATTAAGAGCATGCTTAATGTAAGTAATTATCTATCCTTTCTGATCTATAGTGGGACATCTCACTGTTCCAGCATACTTTTTATTACTTTCTATACTTTCTAAGTGCTTCTTTTTAATTCACAGAAAGTCACATGGAGTCAAAATAATGATAACATTTATAATCATACAAATATCATAATTTTGGCACTTGTTCACATTAAAACATATAAATAAGACAGTATTTTGTACATTTAATTTTTGACACCTTTCACATACAGCAAAATGCATGTACAATACTGAATAAGAGTGATATATCATTTTTGGTGCCAGCCCCCCTATAATGTGGCCTAACAGTCCAGAAAAGGTCAAGGTCAAGACTGACCTTGATAACTGGCATCAGTACTTCTCCTTGCTGTAGGCAAAAATATCTTTCTTTTGCCATTTCCTTTGATCAGGTCTGGACAAGGATCTCAAATTGTCCAAATCTGCTTTACTTAAAACCTTGAACAGTTTTTTAACAGCTTCATCGGAGTAGTGAAGCCCAAGTGGGCTCATTTAGGATTCCTGCACAGTTGAGATGTGGTGGATTTTCTATGACCACCACCCTCTGAAGTTTCCTGAAGTGTTGGTGTCATTTGTGTCCTCCATGTTTCCCTTGTTCTTCTTCGGCACGTTTTCAGTAAGAATCCCCAAATTGCACATAACCCTTCTGTTGATTAACACCAAGCAAAAGCCCATAAATACTGGTCCCTGATCAACAGGGTTGCTTGTGTGGACACATGTTTCACAATGTAACATTATAGATCAACTTTCTCATTGTTCATTTCCTCTTTCACAGCTTCAGGACTGGTCCTTTTTTGTCCCTCTGCAGCTGGCAGCTATTCAAAAGACATTAGGTTGGCTGGTATCTGCAAGACACAAATTTAGGGAGATTTAAGTTTCTACATAGCTTTGCACAGTATTCATAACAGCTATTAAAAATAGGCTCTCTCTTATGGGTCACAGTAAGTTTTACATGAGCATTGCAAATGAAAGCAATACAAATGAAAGCAAAGCAAAGGATAATTTAATTGCAGTCTTGGTGTTTCCTTACCGTGCTTGCCTTTGAACCTACCTGTGGTCTTATACACCTGCAGGCCTCAGCTAAGTGCTTGTGCCAGATGATTGCAGAAAAGCGAGATCCAGTCTGGAACTTGTAAACATTACCTGAATCCACAAACAAAAACAAACCCAGATTCATTCATTTGTTCTTCACATCGAGGTAATGTATAACTAGATAGATAGATATACGGATAGGTGAATGGACAGCTGGACAGATGGAAAGACGGATGGACTATCCCTCACTAACCATAACCGGATGGATGGATGGATAGATAGATAGATAGACAGACAGACAGATAGACAGGCGGACAGATGGAAAATAATCCTAACTGAATGGATGAATAGATGGATGGATGGATTCAGTCGTGTGTGGGATATGGGGACGTGGCAAGAAGGGATGCACCAAGATGGGCATTCTGGGCTGAAGCTGGTATTTTCCATGTACATTACAACCAATGCTGACACATTGAACTATTTTTTAGAAGTAGAAACTGGGACTACATCTACCTGGATTAAGAAATAGAACTTTAACTTTAAGAGTTTACAAATGCAGTAAAATGAATAAAATTTTAGCCCAGTATCGCCTAAACATTCTGCTCTTCAGGAGCTCAGTAATTATGTCATGAAAAATTGTTTGAAAATATCAGTGAAATCTAAATGTGAACACAATGACATTAGATTCATACTGGTCAAATCTAATTAATGATAATTTCATTTTGGATGCAAGGTATACACTGGAACAAAATGTATAATAATGCAATGTATATAATGATAATTATATATAACTTTTTTAAGCAATTATCTATTATTATTACTACTAATAATATTAGTAGTAATGCATCTCTATTGGTAATGTAAAACATTAACATGAGCAAAACAGAAAATTTTGAATTTGTCAAATGTAGATAAAAATTTATTTTATTTTAAATTTATTTTAAATGACAGTTATTACATGTGTAAGTGACGGTATAGGCCTCAGTCAAGAAGGCTGTCCAGAATTACCTTTATCAGGGTCATTGAGCTGGAAAATATTTGGATGCTCAGGGTCATCCGGCAGCACCACTATCCAGCCTGTTAATGAGATCTTCTTACAGGGCCTGGATTTGTACTAGAAGACATTAGGACGAAGGATGTTAAATATACACAGGTGAAATGATAGAACCCTGCAGAACACTGTGCAAACCTGCACTCGGTGGCCATTTTATTTACTCCTGTGTGATATCCACAAACACCCATCAACAGGTCACCACCATGTCAGTGTCAAGTGCAGTACTACTCAGGTGTGGTCCTGTGGGGGCCTTGACCATTAATGAAGAGGGTAAAGGGGGACTAACAAATTATATGGAGAAAAAAATTTATGAACTGCATTCTAGAACTGTAGAACTATAAAAGGCACTTATATTGTAAGTGGATTTTATATAGAGATATACTACAATACATGCTATGGTCTTCATTTCTATTGTATTGCTGGATGATCCCTATTTTTTTTTTGTTCTGTTACACAGTGAACTATTCAAACAGGGTCAACATTGATTTTCCATAAATTAGCAAAACCCCTTCATTCTTTTGTATTGTTTCAAATGTGAATATTATGTATGAAAATGTGAATATTGTGTAGGACACTACATTTCTTTTATAAAAGAGAAAAGAGGTATATGCTATGGCACCTTTAGTTCAACCAAAATAATTTTAATTAAATGTAATAAAAATGCTAAAGTATGTGCAAATAGAGAAATTATATAGACATGAATACTTACATGTCTCCTTTCATTTGCTCTTAAAGCTTTAGAGCCAAAGTAGATAAGAGTGGAACCGGACAGAACAATCCAGTAGCGTTTCCATGATGAAAGCTGGGACAAAAAAAGAAAAATTACAAATTTAAAACAAGTTAAAACATGAACCTCATTGAGATAAGAGAGACTAACCGATCAGTGTGGCATTTTGCTTCACTAAATACATCATTCAAATACTTAAAATATGTGCATTAAAATATGTAGACATGTGTTCTCTATAGAGGATGTGTAACTTGTTTTCACTCCCAAAACCAACAAAACATGTCATTTGACCAGGGGTGCCCAAACATTTCCATAAGACTGCATAAGGTTTTAAGGACAAATGTAAAACCACACTCACTGTAGGTTTCTTGCCCTCTTTCATCACCGTTTTCCTTCGTAGGGGCCCTTCGATAGTGATGCTGCTCAGTGAGCTGCACTCATAACTTGACACCGCTCCTGAGGCACTGGGCCAAAGAGACAACAAAACAAAAGCAGGACGTTCGTTTGCAGCTCAGTATTCTTTTCAAAATGCAGAAATTTAAAGAAAATCACAAGAGAAACTAACTGGTACATGCACAGTTTGTTGTGGTTTATCTAGTCTTGTGTGGCCAGATACAATCTCGTAATGAGAACGTCTGGAGACGACCAAAAGTAATTTGGGTTAAATGTGGGTAAAATGTAGATTTATTAGGGTGAACAAAGTGAGTGGGATTTTTTTAAACCAATCCAATGCCTTGTGAAGGTAGAGCTCAAGAAGGGGCAGAGCAAGTTTAATGGGAGCCTAGCCACTTCCTATTTCTCCCGTTATATCAAAAACATGACCTTAAAATGCCAGAGGGCACCTAAGAGCAAGTCCTCATTGAATGGAGGTGAATGGAGCTAAATGGATACAGAAAACAGGTTTTGGACAGTACGACATTAGCATTACTGCTACTGAATGCTGATTGGCTGGCAAGCTGCTCAGCTCATTAGCTGAGTGAAGCGGTTTACGCTCTTTGATGTCATGAACGTACATGAGGCACTGTTAGAAGGTCTTATAACGTGAGTTCAAAAGCCCTTAAACATATAACAGCAGTGTTGAATTATTATATGCTGTTCTGTGTTCAGAAAATTACTAAAATGTTCTATATCAAAATCATTCATGCTTAATACCAATGAACTCACATGTGCCTTCTGAGTTTTTATGTATGATACTGTTAACAGTAGAATAGTGGTAGATATGAAAAAAGGGATTCTTTGGGGACTACTTTGACTTACAACACACAGCATGTACCTCTCTGCCGTGCATGTAATTTAAAAAAACACAGTGGCCGAAAATCTTCAAAACTATATTAACACATTGGCCCTTATTCATAAAGTTGCAAAAAAAGAGTGCGGATTTGTCCACCTTTAATGATACATAAACTAATCTGTGTCTAAAACTTTCAGGGAAACAAGCAGAAATATGAATGCAAATGATGAACCAGCTTCAATGCATAAAATCAAGTGCCAGCCTAGCAGTACCTCATTTATATATCATTTACATGAAGCATACTCTGATTCATGCAGATAAACCAATAAAACAACGGCAATCAGCAGCTGGCTGTGTCTGTAGGCAGAGTTTGAGGTCAAGTAGTGAGCGCACTGCTCCCCCTGTTGACCAAACTTCATAGTGTTTAAATTACGATGACTAAAAAGTATAAAATGTGAAAAAAAAATCTCAGTTTTTATAGGACGGTGATCCTATAATGAATGATGTGACTGTGTAGTGTGATCACTTTCCTAAAATAACATATTTCAACACTGTATTCCTGCAGTGTATAAGATGCTTCTGCACTAACTTTGTTTTGTATTGGTGATTTTTTGGGCAATGTCATTAGGATAAAACAAAGGCACAGTGTAATATGACTGGGTGTAATAGGACGGCAGAATGATGTGACTGTGTAGTGTGATCACTTTCCTAAAATAACATATTTCAACACTGTATTCCTGCAGTGTATAAGATGCTTCTGCACTAACTATGTTTTGTATTGGTGATTTTTTGGGCGATGTCATTAGGATAAAACAAAAGAACAGTGTAATATGACTTCAAATGGAACACAAAATATTTGCAGCATTTGTTTATACCAATATGCACGTAAAATTAGTACATCCACTGCCATGTGCACAAATTATTAGTGTTATCATTATTTTCTATTTTTATTCTTTTTCTTTTTATTGGTATTATAGATTATACTAATAAGAACAGTTTCGGCTAACCACAAATCAAGGACTTTTGCTCAAGGACCATGCTCAACTTTGATGAATAAGTGCCAAATTATCATGCATCAGGCAGCATATTCATAACCATTTCATGCATTAACTTTAACTTTTAGGAGATTTTAGAGGCACTGTACTCTTTAGATGTCTAGTTCCTATCACCACCACTATGAACAATTCAGACTCGATAAGTTTCTCTCAAACAGAGCCCCTCACATCAAACCACTCTGAATGACAGTTTAAATCTTAGCTGAACAACTGGTGGAAAATTCTAATCAACTGGTGGAATTTCCCTTTCACATCAACACTGACGCATCAAAACTTCTTATACACTTGCACAAAGGGACAGACAATCTGATGCTTCTGAGATGTGGAGTGTGCATACCTGTAAACATAGCTTCTGCTTCTGGGAGAGTTACGCACAGGAACCCTCCAGTTTGGGCCCAGTGTAGCATACATACGGCCCCTGAAATCAGGTACAGTTTTTTAAGTATTTCTCAGTTACAATCAAAGATTTCTTAGCCTATTTTAAAAGAGGCGTAAAGGTCATTTTTATCAAATCACTTTTGTCATATTGACATTCCATCTAATTTTGTAGCTACCCCAATACTTATCAACACACCAATCCATTTAGAACCAATACTACCCCAATACTTATCAACACACCAAGCCATTTAGAACATGCATTCAGGTTGCAAGGAAATTAGTTAAATCCAGAGTATGTGAAAGAAGCTGCAGCAACTTGAACTGACTGCTTGAAAGTTTCCCTGTAATCACTGCACTTTTAACTCTAGGTTTTCTATTTACTGCTCACTCCTCACATTTTCCATTAATATCACACATGTAAGAATACACGTCCAATGTTCACTTCATATTCTTTACATGAACAAAGTATTTATTTTGTGCGCCTTAAACGTTTGGCCACAGAGGTTAAGAAATACACATTAAGGTCAAAAATATGTGAACATCCTGCTAAATACCCTGCTAGAACAACTGTAGCCATGCTATTATTGTGAAATGGATGAGTCTACTAGGAGCAACAACAGCTCAGCCACCAAGCGGTAGACCACGCAAACTCAATAAGCATGGCTGCCACGTGTTCAAGCATGTTGCTGTAAAAATCTCCTGTTCTTTGTTGCATTGCTCACTGCAGTGTCCCAGACTGTGCATCCAGAGCTTCATGAAATGGGTTTCTATAGCCAAGCAGCTGTACACAAGCCTAAGATCACTACATGAAATGCCAAGTGTCAGCTGGAGTAGTGTAAAGCATGTTGTGGAAACGTTCTCTAGAGTGATGAATCACTTCACTATTTGGCTGCCTGATGGACGAATCTGGGTTTGTGGATGCCAGGTGAACACTACGTACCAGAATTAATTGTGCCAACAGTAAAGTTTGGTGGAGGAGGGATAAAGGTCTGGGGCTGTTTTTCAGGGTTTTGGGCCCTGACCTCAACCCCACATCATTGGGAAAAATTGGAACACTGACTGCAAACATCAGTGCCTGACCTCACAAATGCTCTTTTGCTACAGATACTTTTGAAAAATCTTGTGGAAAGCCTTTCCAGAACAGTGGAGGCTGTTACAGCTGCAAAAGGGGGGCAATTCCATATTAATGCCTATGGTTTTGGAAAGGGAAGACCAACAAACTGATACGGGTGTGATGGTCAAGTGTCCACATACTTTTGGCCATACAGCGTATATGAAATAGAAAACAAAAGACAGACTAAATTTGAAGTGACGCTACTGACTCACATTAAAGGAGTGTTTAATAAATGTACAAAGCAATTGCATTACAATTGCAAGTTTTTAGCATGTTTTACACTCATGGGATGGAGTGGTATCTTAGTGCAATCTTAAAACTTGAGAAATATACACCAGCACTCTAAAAAGCTGTTTAAATTGCTGCTCCTTTCCCGAGGCAAAATCATTCCACTCCCACTCTGCATCACTCACATAATCTGGTTGAACTGTAGCATACATTTAAATTCTAAAGTCTTTTCTTGACACCTTTTGATTGACTGAACATTACAGTTAAAATACATCTAAAAAGCAAACTGATGCATGTATCACCTTTCAACAGTAGATGATAACTCGTCACTGAAGGAGCTTTCTCTACTGCCTGCAAAATACAACAGGAAAACACAATGTCAAAAAATGCTCTTAGAAACAAATGATTTGGACAAAAACAGTGTAAGCAAGACACTAGATTTGCTTCAATCACAGGTTGGATAAAAAGGTGAACAACAGCTGAACAACAACACTTCTGTATGCTGTGCATGATTTACATTAGAACAAAGAAATGTCAGCAGTGCAAATTTTCCAAAACACACAAAGAAGACACTCATAAAATTGATATATATGTATAAGTCTTTCCTATTGTGGCTAATAATAGGCCAGAATGATTACATTTGGAAAATGGGACATTGAAAGAATGTAATCTTTTGAATACCAGTAGAAATACTTCTTCGACACCTTCCATAGATTTGATGCCCAATATTTTTACTGTTTTCTGCCCTGTCTAGTTACTGTCATGTGTATTTATTGTCATCTGTGTTTTTCTGCACTCAAATCACAATGTCAATTTATGTAGTACTGAGTAATGTTTCACCATGGGCCTGAAGACAGACATTTCGTTTCATTCCAGTGTATACAAGCTATAATTGTATGCAAAAGTTTGAACACTCCTGGTCAAGTTACATGTTTTATTCATTTTCTACGTAAAAATACATCAACACATCCTCTACAGGGAATAAACCTAAATATGGCATTTTTCTGAAAACACTGGTGCACTTTCTACTTCTATGCTGAGTTTGACATATTGGAAATATATATAAAGTGTTTTCTCTGTATAGGGTGTTAACTCATTTCCACTCATTTCCAAATCAACATGTCATTTGACCGGGTGCTTAAACTTTTGCATACATACATATAATGAAGAATGACAATAAAAACTACTTGACTTGAGAAATAAAAAAAAACTCCCTGTCTTTGGGATTTGTTTTGAATTTTGCTGCCCACTAGTGGCAGTAAATGATTACAACAGCCTTTCCAGCAAGCCTGCAGTAATATTCTCTTAGGGAGGTCAGAAAAATCAATACAAATTCAGCAGTCCAAACAATGGGAAAGGAAAATGCACATAATGGAATAGACACAAGCAAACCAATATATCAGGGCTAGATGGTTTTTGGTCATTTAGACTCTGGGCATGTGTAAAGCTTCAGCAGATCTTCAATGAGTGTTGTGAGTGCCGCACATACAGCTTGTAAATATGTTCATATTATTTGTTATATTGTAGCAAGCATTCTTACATTTAAATCTTTTTTACAACAGCTATAAAATGTAATTTCAGTGTGTTTTGGAGGTTATTCAGTTCAGCCTTAAATTTTACTATTTTTATTAAACTATAAAATTTCAAATATTTTAATTAAATATCTATTACATTTTAAATCTATTACATCTTTTAAAGTAAATATCTATTAAATGCAACTAAACTTAAATTTGAGTGTGAAAGATTCAGCAGAATCTAACCCTAACTCTAAACCTAAACTTCGACACAAAACGTACACCGACTCCTAGACCTAACCCTAACCATGATGTTATTGATAATCAACCGAGTATTAGCAGAAAGTTTGTTAATAATTTAAGTATCTGTAGATCATCTATAAGGGACAGAAGTGTGACCTAATTATATTTGGAATTGGATAATATTAATAAAAATTGCAGAATGGCCACTATGAGGCCTGCAGAAAGTGGTCAACAAATGTCTTATTAAGAATTTTGGGCCATTTTCAATCATATGGGACCATCACTCTGGGTAGACTGAAAGGTCAATTCTCATGGAATCATACATGGCTACACCCGTCATACTGAAAAGACAAGCTCTGCCCCTGATGTGCAGTATGAATGTGAGTGTGCAGAAGTATAAAGTGGAGCACCTAATGAGATGCCGTTGGTGAAGACGGAGTCGTGAGTGTGGTTCCTCACAGGGCTGTGGGACTCTAAGAAGCTGTCGTCCAGCAGGTGACGAGCTTTCTCCTTCGCAGAGAAAGTGGCACTCTTACTCTCTACCACACCAAACTGGCACATCATACTGGGGGAGGCACAAGAGATGAGGAAGGAGAGGAAGAGAGAGGCATAAAGAGAGGCCTATTGGCGATACTGACAGAATTCAATACACAACATTTTAAGGTTATTTAACTTATTTCTATACTTTTTTACTTGTTTTAAGTCATTTTATTTAGTCAAATTGTCTTTGAAATCTAAAATAAGTATTTTTGAAACAAGCTACATTTTCTGCCAATAGCATAAGACAATTCACCAGATAAAATGGCTTGAAACAAGCAAAAATGTCAAGAAATGAGTTGAATAATTTTATAATATTCTTCCAACAACCTCAAAAGGTGAAATCTTTGATATATTGACTAGATTTAGGATGATTTCACATGCTAAGATATCATGTTTTGCAGTGCGGCATCACCGTATCGACTGGTCTGTTCAAATTTTAACACGATAAGTTGGAAAGGATAAGTGGAGTTTTCAAATTAAAAATGACAAATACAGATACAAGATTTCTGCACAACTGCAATGAATGTAAGTTTGCATTAATAAGTGATAATAATAAGTAAGAATCCGTACTGTGTTTTGTTTCCTTAAAATTACAACAAAGGGAGTCTTACACAGTGCTGTAAATGTTAACAATACAGAACCCACAATACTCCAGTACAAAAACTTATGATTTCTATATTGTTTGTTTGTAATTTGAACTGTTGTTTCAAATTCAACTTGAATCACCAAACAAATTACAAACACTGTAATCCAATGTGCTAAAAACAAAAAATTAATATTGTTGTATGACACTAATACTGGTCTAGATGATGCGCTAGAACATAGTGTGAAAAATAATGATACAAACACATAATATAAGAGGGACTCCATGGTTTAGGGTTTCGTGGTGAACAAATACAATACTTACTTATTGCCCAGGCTGTGGCTCTTCCTGTGCCGAGCTGGAGGTGGGGTAGGCAGGTGGGCTACAACTGATGTATCAGGACATGTTGGTCTCCGATTGTACCTCACTGAGACAGACTCCTCTGAGGGTCCTGAGGCAAGCACACAAACAAAATTTAGCTATCTTCAGTAACATCATCTGCATCATTTTTTCACAAATAATGTCTGAAACAGCAGGATGTTGATGTAAAACCGCTGAGCTACTGTTTCATTCAGGTTTTGGCACCTCCTTCCCAACAGCTTTTAAGATTTTCTCCCCTGTTAATCCAACTGTGTGGGTATAGGCCTCACTACTGGACCCACTCCTGCTTTTCCTGTTCAAAACAAACAACACTAAAATGCACACTTGCTCTCATTAACGCCATATGTGTCCAATTAGAAAAGTTTTAACTCTTGTAACAGACGACAGTTAACTGATCTTCAAATATCTACAGCTGCAAACAATTCAGCATAACGTAGAGAATGTTGTCTAGCCTTCCAAACCAGCCTTAGTATCACAGTCCTGATTAAATGGCATAACGGCATCTATTAAGCAGCAAACAAATGTTGCATAAGAAGAGTCAACAAAGATCACCAACTACTGACAAAGCCAGCATGTTCCCTGTAGTCAAGTCTGGGGCCTTTTTTTATTGCACAGTAAAAACAGAGAAGTATTTGTGGCTCTACAGCCAATAGGCATTTTCTTATAATCAGCCTGAAGTTCCGAACCCCCCCACTGTCTTTAATAGGCGGGATGTGAGAGCCCATGGGGGATGCAATGCACCCCGAACTAAATGGAAACAGACCTTTCTTCCTAATTAGCACATGGAAGCGTGCACCACTTCTGACCGCAGCCATCAATGACTCCATCATTACAGTCTCTTCAAAGATGGCAGGCACAAAGGAAAAAGATGCTACTGACATTAATACTAATGCTGGGACTTTGGAAAAGTGGGGAAACACTGTGTTTGTTTGAATATTTGATATAAATAAGGGCGAGGATGTAAGTGCTCAGAAGTTACATTTAGTCAATGACATCTTAAACACGTGTAGTTCGGAGAATCGCAGAGGTTGAGGAAAACTGAGAAAAAGGCCCAAAGCCTGGTCAAAAGGTATTGCTAATATCATGCATTTTCACCAGGCTTTGGGACTTTTCCTCAGTTTTCCACAACCTCTGTGATCCTCTGAACTACATGCGTTTAAGATGTCCCTAACCCTAACCCCTAAATTTTAACTTGAGAAAATACAGCATTTTTACTTGTTTGTTTTTTTTAAATTTGTTTATTTTTTACACATTACAAATTGTGAAATGTTTAGGTTAAAGAATGATTTTGTAACACACTGCTCATACTAACTGTTAATTATGTTAACTGATGAGAAATATAAATAAAATAGCAAAGTTTTTTACAAGCTGAAACTTATTGCCCAGTAAAATGGTTTTAAACAATTTGGAGACAATGGAGAGTGAAAATGTAAATATGACCTGGAACTGAACACTGGAACGCTAAATTACGGCATAAGCTGTGTATCTCTTATATTACATTACTCAGACAACCTATATAAATTGCTAAATTTAAGCCATGCCAAGTCGAGCAACAGAACCATTCCTCGCATAGGATGATGTGAGCGTCACTGGGCATGAGTAGAAAAAGGAGATGGAGTCTTCACAAGCATCTTAGATAATTTGGATTCCTTAGAATTAGAAGTGTAAGGTCATGAAGAAAGTGAGGGGGGGTTTCCTGGCTGCGAGACTAATGTGCCACACCCTGAGGGCATTCCGGTCACATGAATCTCAGTCTCCCATTTTCCTTCCATGAAACATCTGCAAAAGCTCTCAAACTATCAGACTTCCAAGCATTCTATAGTGCACAGAGAAGACCACATCTATACAGGTTGAGCAGAACTACTTTCATGCAAATGGTTCCCAAAATGTCATTCTACAGGGGATTATAAACAATGGTGTTTTAAGCTAATGGTTCCAAATATGAATTCAGATCAAGAGAAATAAATTTAGAAAACAGTTCAGTACCTCCAAGGTCTTCTTTGGAAGACACCAGGCGAGGTGAACTGTTTCCAGGTTCAATCCTCAGAGACAGCCTGAAGGAAAGAGAGCACAAAGACAGACCAAAGTTTAGGCCAAAACCTGATCTCAAAACTATCGTAAAACAATTTCTCAGCCATCGGGCTGCATATTCATAGCAATTTCATGTAATAACTTTGTGATGCAGCTTCTAGAGGCATTAAATATTTTTGGACGTCTGATTCCTATCACCTCCACTGTGAACAATTCTGATTTGACTCTGAATGACTGAATGATGACTACATCTTAAATATTTAATTATGCATACATTTTAAAACATCAGTAAAATTTCCCATTAGGGAGTATGACCTTGAACAGCTGGAACTAGAATGCAGGCTTTGCTTTTCAACCACAAGAGGAAGCCAGACGGTGATGTCATTCCCCCAAACGCTAACCTCATGCACACTACTCCCCCCACCCCCTTCCCTGCCAGATCTTTCTCCACTACACTCTGGAGACACAGACTTCACTTGAAAGTCCAGTCTCAGGCTACCTGCAACTCTCAGTCAGACGCTCCAAAGAGCAAGTCCAAGAAACCATCATAAAATGAGAAACAGGCTTCTGTTACACTGAATAAAGCTTTCTTAAAAGCTACCATTTCGAGACAGATTCTGTAACATAGGGGAAAAGCCCCCAGTAAACCCACATAAGCCCATGTGCATTTTTATGTGAAATATTTTGAAAACTGGAATAGTATGAAACTACTGGGTAACTTCTTTCTCTGTTACTGTGAGTTTTTAATTATTTTAGTTTGAGATATCTGTGTGAATGTAAAGGGCCTGTCCTGAATACATGTCAAAGTCTTACTGCCCTATAGCTTATACCCTATAGGAAAAAATATATTTCTCTGTAATGCTAATCCGGTTAGTCTTGATTTCTACATTTTAGAAGTGTTTATGTCGCCATCCATTGTTATCAGCATTGGCAGATATGTAAAGGTGTATGCAGAAATGTTAACACCCTTGCACAACCTAAATTCTTTTCCTTTCTCCCATTCTTGTGACCTGGATTCGATTCCCAGCTGGCGCACAAACCTTCTGTTTGGGGGCAGTCGTGGGCACAGCCCGTGACTGAAGTGCCCGTGAGCAAGGCACCTAACCCCCCACTGCTCCCCGTGCGGTGCGGATAGGGCTGCCTACCGCTCCGGGCAAGTGTACTCACTGTCCCCTAGTGTGTGTCTTCACTAGTGTGTATGTGGTGGTCACTGCACGGATAGGTTAGATTGCGGAGGTGAAATTTCCCCATTGTGGGACTAATAAGGGTCGCTTAATCTAATCTAAATGTTTTGTTGACAGTGAAAACACACTCTACTGAAAACAAACAAAATATGTCATTTGTCTGCAAATATTAGTGAACAATTTATATTTATTTGTTGAGTTTATATTTATTATATTTATATATTTACATTTCTTATATTTACATTTATTTTGTGAGTTCAATACACTAGGAAAACTCCCAATGAGGCAACCTTAATAGAAATAAAAATATTTCTCATATGGATTTTTCCACTTTAGTCAAACATAAAATATAAATTGTACAAAAAATATTAGATATTTGCATCAGCCCACACATTCCATATCGATACATCTCTAGTGCCCCCCCCCCTTTAATTACGAATATGAATTCTATTCAGTACTTCTGTAGCATTCAATAATAATAATAATAATAATAATAATAATAACTATTTCTGTTTTACTATGTTGAATTAAAACAGAAGGCAGTTAAAGCAGTAGAGAAAAAGCAACATTGAGTAAAATATTAATGACACATCTTTTCTACAGGGTCGTCAATTTAAAGAGGTTCTAATGACATAAACCAGGAGGATGCTGAGGGCAGCCAGGTCACATAAAAAAGTCTATTTCTGCAGTATGATCTCATCCCATGTAAGCAGTGCTCTGAAATAAAACTGAATCCTTCTAACTCATGGGTCCCTTCAACACTGCAATGCAGACACTGCATAAACATCCAGCTCTGTTTGAGTTTTACAGAAGACTCATGAACAGACGTTTTACACAAGACTTACGAACAGAAGTAAGTCAGTGCCTCAACGTGGTACTGTTTGTCGATGAAACTCAGGTTTAAAACCTTCCAAAACCAACTGCCTATCTTCATTACTATCACTCTCTACTGGCTTGAAGAAATGTCAGAGAATATAAAGCTGACTTCGAGAACATAATCTCACTTTCTTTGGGAGAAATACATGAGACAGAGACAAATATATAAAAGTCACCTGAGATTATTACTACACGTAAACTTCTGTAAACTATCATGAGAAAGCTGACAACAGGATTTTGACACATGCACACAAACAGATATCAATGAGATTATGGAAAGTTGTTTTTAGAAGTGTCTAGATTGTTAGAGGTTGGAACAGACTGAAACCATAGCCACAAAAAAGCAGTTCAGACAGACAGGACCACACAGTGCAGCTGGAATGGAGCTCTGAACATTGGACTGGAGAGAGGAAGTGGGGAGAGCCTCCACTGCAGATGACATCATCTTATGAAAACACATCATTGTAACGTTCATGTGTTTCCTAAATAGTGAAAGAGGAACGATCTTTATAATATGTTTTATAACCTGGACTAATTAAGCTCAGAAAAAGGAACATTTAGAGATATTTTTAAAGTCTCTGAGGTTCTAAGCAGTAAATTATGGAGGACAATTTGCTTTGAAAAACAAAAACAGTACTGTGCAAAATCTATTTATCTGGGCAGTGAGAATTTATTTGTTCTATAAAACACTAACATTAGAATAAAAACAAGTAAACAATGCATTGTGATTGTATGTATGTCAGTGAATCTTACTATGTTTTACTCCATACATATTCATTTGTATTTATTCTAATGTTATATAGTGTTTAACTGCCAAAACACACTGACTGCTGAGATTGTTTTTAAACAATTTTTACCAACATTTGTACAGTATTGTACATGTGGTGCTAATAAATTAATGTTCAAGTGTACAAAAAAACGTAAAATAAACGCTAGCACAAATCCATACCAAACATACGCAGCAGTGGCTGGCAAATGAGGAGTCAGGTTGAACTTTGAGCTATGTAGCCAAACCAAATAGACCTGCACCACATGGTGTAGTAATGCTGCAGCAACAGGCTAAAAAGTAACTAAATTAACTCAAAGAGCGTTTCGAGCGACAGAACAATTTGATGAAGAATTTCCTATCATAGTAATACAGAGAATTAAATTATTTTATTATTTTAGATGTCAGTCCAATATACAATATTCATGTTACATTTACATATGGTTTTGCTCTTGTTCTTCATCTTTTATGAAGAAGTCCAGTTTTAAGATGTTGTTTGTTGTCTGCCCTCGTTTCCAATATTCTGTCCATGTGCCACCTTCACACTGGAGCCCTGAGAACTTACGTATAATTGTCATCCTCCACAAACTTCTGCAGTTCCTCAATGTAGCGCACTGACATCAAGTATTTCTGCACATGTGGTAATGTCAGCAAGTGATCTGTGGGGGAATGTGGGGAAGCTCAATATGAATTATGCAGTCATTGCAAAAGAGAAATTTTTACATTTGAATGTGTCCAGAATATTTTGTGAGATAAAAGTATAAAAACTAAATACAAATATTGTCGCTGTTGAAAAAACACCAGGACTAACAAGGTACACATGGAAATGCAAGGTTTTGTTCTGAGTGAGAATATATAGTACCTTAAATCTAAGGTGTGTGTGTATATATACATTATTCATCATGTTAATGAAAATAAAAATAAGCATTTAGGGAGTGAGGGAGTGAAAACCAAATGCAGTCATTTTGAAACTCGATGGCTCCCTCTTGTGGACACAGTAGACAATATAACAGTCTTAATACTACATTTTGGTCTCAAATTGGCAAAATGGTCTTTGGCAATCCTTAGAATTACTCAAGAGAAAGGAAAAAGGTGAACAAGAAAGATACTTATTAATAATGTACTGAATATTTAATTTTTTACTGCAGAAATATGGGATGTATTAAACTGACCATAGTTGCAAGACATCTGCAGGTCGGAGATGATACGGAGAAGATTGTTCATTTGATTGGCCCTCTGCTCAGTCTCTATGATGCTGTCAGTGGCTGGGTAGGCAGAGTCGATGTAGGTCATATCAAACAGGTAAATTCCTGAAAAGTAAACAGACAGAGAAACAGAGTTTACAAGTTATTCTTTCTTTTTTCTGAGGAATTAGTGAGTTTCATAACTCAATGACATGAAGGCCTTATATCAATTCAAATATAAAGGACTGGATACACTAACAATATAGGACTAGATCATTTTCACTGTTAGATGTCCTCACAGCATCTTGTTAATATGATGAAATGCTTATTCTACTTAGAATTGGGGCAGGCAATATGGCGAAAAAATATTATATCACGATACGTCAAGACATTTTCACAGTACACAATATGTATCAGAATATTTCTTAAATGATTTATTGGGGGAGAAAAAAAAAATCTTAACTTTAATGTATGCCAATGTAACAACACTTTATTACAAGCTATTTTTAAACATTCCTATTGGTCCCAAAACTCTTAAGGTCCCATGTAAAGGGCAGCTGACATTTTTAAAAGAAAAAATGTTGACATGAAGAGAAAAGGGATGGATTGATGGACTTTATGAAGTATACAGACATATTGCAAGATAAAGTCTGAATAAAGATCCAAAAAACTTGAAAATGTAACAGCTTGTTTTTCCTCCATTAGTTACTTAAGTCAATTCTGACTTCTGTATGAACACATCAGCACTAACCCTGTAAACAACATCTGAACTCATTCAAGGCCAAATTTCTTCCCCTAACCCTCATTCAGCTGTCCTTAAACAGCTATAATATCTGGGTATGAGACAACTCTCTCCAGGATTCTCATGCTAACTGCTAACTGAGAGGCGTCAGTAGCAGTAAAAAGCAGTCCAGCATGTGGGGGATGTGCAGTTTCCTGGGCTGGCCAGTGAAGCCTGAAGGCAACTCCAGATTGCTGTAGCCTGTTTGTTTCCTTCTACAGACAGGACCACCTTTCTAATTAGCAGAAACAGATAATATGGCCCTGGAGGATGTGTACTTACTGGGAGTAGAAGTGAGGAACTGTTTAGGAAGTGTCCATCTGCTTTCTCATGCAAGACTGGGCCTAAAGTCATTTCCCCCTTTATCAGAAAGGCTGAGGAGGCTAATTAACACACTTGTATGTGCAGGCAAAAATGAGTAGGTAGAGAAAGTAAAACTGAATGGATGAATTTCAAACTCTCTATTACTTTTCATAGGTAAACCTCAACCTCAATTCCAAAAAAGTTGGGATAGTATATGAAATGCAAATAGAAACAGGAAGCAGTCATCAGTAATTTTTTTAGTATTAAATTGAGAATAAAAAAAAAAACAAAAAAACATTTTTTGGAAATATATGCTCATTCCAAATTTGATGCCTGGGACAGAAGCACGTTTACCACTGTCTTACATTACTTTTCTTTTTAATGACACTTAACAATCATTTGACGACTGAAGAAATCAATTGATCTAGTTTTGAAAACCGAATCTGTTTCATTATAAATTCTCAGCTGTACAACCATATGGGGCCTTCATTGTCGTATTTTGTACTTAATGCGCCACACGTTTTCAATTGGAGGCAAGTGTGGACTGCAGGCAGACCAGTCTAGCACAGGCACTCCTGATTATGGAGCCAGGCTGTTGTAACACATGGTCAGTGTGGTTTGGCGTTATCATGTTGAAATAAGCATGGACATCCCGGAAAGTGTTGTTGAGAAAGCAGCATATGTTGCTCCAAAATATGTATATACTGTATCCTTCAGTATTAGTGATGCCTTTACAGATGTCAGATGTGCAAGTTACCTGCACCACGGACACTTGTAACAATCTGCATTTTCTTCTTCTTCGACGCAATATTATTCTATAATCATTCTATAAGGTTGACCTGTCAGACCACAATACACATTTCCACTGTGCACCTGCCCATTTCAGATGAGTTTGGGCCATCTGGCTAAAAGCACTTTTACCTATAGATCTCGTTTTGGGTATAGCTAGAACACCAGTGCAAGATTTTTACAAGGTTGTACACACACTTTAGCAAAGTGGATAGAAACTGGTAAAATCTGAGTCCAAATTTGTTATGTACTTCGAGGTTGAATGTTCTTGGTGTTAAAATTATATTTGCACATTTGTAATCACTCTCACAGGTGACCGATACCTTTACAAAGCTCTGCCATTAACTGATCCTAATCATCTTTGGGACCAAATAAAAATGATTGACTAACCACAGCTGAACTATCTGACAGCATGTTTGACTGGAAAACCTGAGTAATTTCAAATTCATGTGCAGATGGCACCTTTGGACAACAAATGGTATTCCTTGTCTTTTCTAACAGAATAACAATAATTTGTGAGCCTCATGACTACAAGTCACAACCTTGTAAAACGGTCAATGGACATACCTGAGCTTCAGAACGGTCAAAAGTAAGGGAGGTGTTTAAACTCACCCAACTAATGTCTGACCAAAGTTAAGAGTGGCACTTGTATGTGCAAAACTGACCCCCACCCATACAAAATACAACAGACAACAATGACTTTACATGATCTTTGTCCTATATCCTGAAGCTGAGCCAGAGATCCACAACTAAGACAGGTAAATAAGGCTTTACAATGTGCCCCAATCTGATAACACAAAAAACATAAATCATTTTCTCTGTGGTTTGGAAGAATAGGGCATGTCTAAATTTAGCAATATTTCTTAAGTGGGGAAAAAACAGGTCTGGGTTTCTGGTATGTATTGAAAAATCGCTTAAGTTTCTAGGACATGGTTAAACGTTTGCCAGCAGACCAAGAGCTACCTGCTGTTAAAAGTCTCTGACTGAGCTCTGGGAAAGGCTGAACAAAGGCTGAAACATATATGTATGAGAGGTCAGTGGCACAAACCTGCGACCATGAAAAAGAAAAAAAAAAAGTGAAATGGGTCAGAACAGAAAGAGTTTTACTCAGTAGAAAAGCATTTCAGTCTAGTTTGATTTATTAAAGTGGCTAACCATCCAATGAGTCACAAAGCATTGAGCTTGTAACAGAACTTGAAATCATTAAAAAAAACAAAAAAAAAACAAAGAGAGGCTAGGAAACATTATAGAAAATTGGATAGCTTGTATTGGCACACCAAAAATAATTACAAATAATTACATATCTGACTTAAGTCAGGCCTATTTTAGGCTTTTAAGACTTTGTAGCGTTCTGGGATATACTGGAAAAGAGCTGGCCTTCCTGGAAATGAATGCACTTTTGACTGGTTTCCAGAAAGGCCATACATTCATGCATGCTGCAGAGGAAGAGATAGTGAGGGAGAGAGACAGACAGAGAGAGTGCAAGACAAAGAAAGAGAAAAAGAGAGCAAGAGAGACAGCAAGAGAAAGAGCACGAGAGAGAGAGAGAGAAAGAGAGCATGCAAGAGAGAGTTCACTACAGAGAGAGCGAGATCAAGAGACAGACCAACTTTGCAAAAAACAAAGAACTTTATTAAGTACACCTCCTTGTTTCTAGACTCATTGTCCATTTTACTGTTCATGTACAATTGGATTGGACATCTGCAAGAGTTTTAAACACCTCACTGCTGGACTGAAAACAGTCCACCAATCAAAAATACCCAGCCAACAGTATCCTGTGACCACTGATAAAGGACTAGAGGATGACTAACACAAACTGTGCTACAACAGATGAGCTACCGTCTCTGACTTTACTTCGACAAGGTGTACCAACAAGGTATTTGTGTCTAATATAGTGGACATAATATTTAAAAACTTCAGCAGCACTACTATGTCTGATCCACTCGTACCAGTGCAACACGCATAAACACTACCACCATGTCAGTGTCACTGCAGTGCTGAGAATGATCCACAACCCTGCAGTGGTCCTGTCAGAGGTGTCCTGACCACTGATCAACAGGGGGCTAACAGTCTATAATTGTAGAACTACAAAGTGCACCTACATGGTAAATGGACCTGATAAAACTGGCAAAAAGTGCAGGTACAAGGTGGTGTACTTAATAAAGTAGATGACTAGCATATGTATTGTTAGGCTCCTATAGAATACAGAGTAGCTAGGAATGTCTCATAGCAGCTGTTCAGATATTAAACAATCATATTACAAAAATATAAATAAAAATATAAATAAACTGCTTTCCCCATAAGCTACTCTTGATTCAAACTGTATTGAGAAAAAAAAATCAAGATCCCAATTTTAGTAGGACTGATTTTTTTAGATCCAGATGTCTCTTTTCACAAAAAGGAAAAACATGTCTTCAGCCTCTCAAGCATCTCAATTTTATCTACAAACATAACAGAAAGGGAAGTGAATGAAAGAATGACTGATAGCTGAACTCCACTCTGGAACTCCACTGCAGCCCTTGAATAGAACACGGAACATGGAGTGTGTCCTTTCTCTGTGCCAGTACATTACTGCTCCTAAAACCAATGTCCATTACGGCCAAGGACATTTACAGACTTCAAAGTTTATGCTGCTTGAAATACAATACACACATTTATTTAGCCTTCCTCCCTTTGACTTTAACTGTGCAAACTTTCAAGTAACCTACAAATCACTCTGTAAATCACTGCTGTACCATTCAAGCACAGCTCACCTTATGGTAAATAAATTGTAACAGTTGTGAAGTTTGAAGAATAAAGGAAGGTATGGTTTAAGAGCTGAAGTAAATAGTTTTTTTTTTAATTCATTTATGCTTCTTTACTCATCTATGAGAGCTTATCAGTAGAGTTCTTATAACAGAGGCATACGAACATTAAGACAAAAGTAGTATCCTTAAACTGGCTTAAAGAAGAAAAAGGCTGAAAAAGATCCATAGGTGGTTTAGCCTTGCCAAATTTATGCATCAACTATTATGCAACAAATTTCCAAAAGGTTCAAAACATGAGTACTAGTGTAGAATTGAATCACACTCCTCATCAGGCCTGAATTATCAAGTTATTGGCCCCTGGACACCAATGTTTGGTAGGTCCCTTGGCCACCTTTTTTGGGTGGTCAGGACATTTTTTTATGCTTTCACAGCAGGTTACATGAGTGCAACACAGCCCCAAGACAGCAGCACGCTAACCACAGTGTTAGGCATGTCACCATTATAAG